TTCTTCTCCTGTGGGTGGGCATCTAGGTATCCACAAGACCATTGCGAAGGTTAGGGAAATGTTCATCTGGAAGGGTATGGATCGGGATCTTGCTGCTAGGGTGCGTTCTTGTCAAACGTGCTCACTGAGCAAGCCCGCTCAAAACTCTAAGTTTGGTTTGTTGTCATCTGAGGTGGCGGAAAGACCTTTGGAGAAGGTTTTCATTGACTATGTAGGGCCTCTCCCGCGTAGCAAGTCAGGAAATAAGTTCCTACTTGTTTGTGTGGATGCCTTCTCCAAGTTTTGTTGGCTTTTCCCCTTAAGGAATGCCACTGCACAGCTCACCGTGCAGGTACTTCGAACTCACCTCTTCCAACATTTTGGAATACCCGCCACCATTGTTTCCGACAACGGAACACAGTTTGTTTCCCATCTGTTCAAAAGAATGTGCTTTGGGCACGGAATCCGCCATGTGACTACTTCCCCTTACTATCCACAGCCTTCTCATGCTGAAAGGTTCAATCGCAATCTTCGTTCCGCTCTCATAGCTTTCCATGCTGACAAGCAGACCACCTGGGATCAGGAACTCCCTTGGCTTCAGTTTGCTTTCAATACTGCTCACCATGAGAGTCACAAGGCGGTCCCTTTCGAGCTGTTTCTAGGCTATCCGCCTAACAACCCGTTAGCGAATGTGTGGGGAATTGGCGACCTTCTGCCACCTCCTGGTGCGGCTGATGTCAAGGCAACTTGGCAAGCGGCCAGGAGAAACTTGATCAGAGCTAGGGAATTGGTCCGGAGGAAGCACAATCGTGGTAGAGTAGACAACCCTTTCCAGGTGGGGGATTTGGTGTTTTGTAAAGCTCATCCGGCCAGTTCGGCTGTGGACAAGAGAGCTGCCAAGTTGTGTCATCGGTGGTCAGGTCCCCACCGCATCCTGAGGTTTTTGACGCCTGTCACGGCGGAGCTTGGAGATCCGCGGACTGGAAAAGTGTTCCGGAGGGCGCACATTTCTCATCTCAAGCCCTTCCGCGGAACTCTTCCGTAGGCAATTCCTTCCTCTTGTGTCTGGGTGGGAAGTGCACTGGGCCAGAGAACCTGATCACTTCTCCTGTCCCCTGTGTTCTGCGAAGGAATTTCCCTCACAAAATTTTCCAGCTCTGGCCAGAGCAAACCCTGGGGGTGAGTTTTCCCCTCAGTTTGGAAGTCCCTTGGCGTTCCCCACCACAGACACTTGAGTTGTCTTTCAGGTCAATCTCTTTTCAGGAAGTGGGGGAGAGGCTTGTTTGTTTGTCCCTTTTGGAGAGGAGTGTCCTCTTTTGGGGAGGGAGGTTGAGCCGTGACTATTTCCACCGGGCGAATGTCACGACTCATGATCAATGGTTCAAGTGTTTTTTTTTATAGTAGGCTAGTTCAGTGTTTCGTTGTCACTTTCACGACCCCGAACAAGGCTGTGAGTCTTGTTTTTCTTACTCTTTCCGCCAGCAACTCATAGGTTCAGCGACGTCAGAGCCGTTTGCCTCGCAGAGGATTTTCAGAACAAATTTATCCTTTAACATCTGTTTCTATGCTTTATTTTTTGCAAAGCAGTTTTGTTAATTGTTCTTTACTTTTGTTCTGCTACGCAATGGTGTAAATTTATCGCGCCACGCGCGCCTTTTCGGGCCCGTGAGGAGGAACATGTAGCAGCCGCATCAGCATTGACGGAGTGGATTCTACTGCTCTTGGCCACCCCTGGATCATGGCCCCCCCTCTTCCGTCATGCTCGTTTCCCCCTCCGGTGCTGCTTGCCCAGAACCATTGAACTGAACGCCCTACCGCAAGTTACTTAGACCTAATTTATTGTTACCGCTACGGACTGAGGGATTTTAATTGTTATTTTGTTAATTTGTGCACAGATCTCTATTAATTGTTATTCCTTTTAAATTTTAAATTCTTTAGCCTAGGCTACTTGTTGATTTTTTAGATTTTATAATTTTTTTTTACATATTCTATTAAATTTCAATTTTGGGGCCCCTAAATTTTCTATAGTTACCATGAAATGAATTTATTAAAAGAGTCATTAGATATTTCATTGTTGTAATTTGTTAATTTAAAAGGTTAAAACTGATTAAATTTACTTTGACTGAAATTAGCCTATTTTGAATTTTTTTAAATTAATGTTTGTAAGTGAGTAGGTCAGAGTGGTATCAAAATTTTTTAAAGTTTAATTGAGAGTATTTAATTCATGTATTATTGTTAATTATTGTTGTTGTGTTATTCTTTTAAATGGTTAATTACAGCTCGTTTCTCTCAAATGGCGTGTTGTTCTTGAGCCTCCATCCATGGTTCTCATTTTGTTAAGTAAAGTTTTGTGAGCCGCTCCTCGGGCCTGCGCATGGATCACGCTTCCTTTTCGTTAGTCTGGGTGCAGGCGCGAGGGCATGGTTCAAACAGCAATACCGGATGCATAATAAAGGTCAATGGCCTAAAATATCACGATTGTGCAATATTGTATTTTGATGTTGAAATTAAAATCACGACAAAAGTTTGTATATATCCATGGTCGTCAATAGAAAGATAAAATATCCATAACAAATATTTTAATTTATAAAATAAGATTGTAGATTAGTTACAAGTTTAATATGTAGCCATAAACAGTTTTATGACAGTAGGCAATGGCCAGCGGCAAATTCAATATTCACGAAAATACTGATTAAGTTAGAGATAACATTTAACAGTCATCATAAAACTATTATTTTTATGATAAAACAGAATTGGAGAAAGTTGTAAAGAAATAAAAGTGATAAAACTCAACAGTTCTTGGAAGTACTTCAATACAACAATTATTGTCGTGATAAAATGTTAATGGATTTGGGACTGCTAATGGGTTTTTTATTGCATCATCACGCTAGTAATAAATTATGAAGATCGTAAACAAACATCTGATAAGACTTTTATGTGACGGAACCAACTGCCGTTGACTACGATAGTAAACTGAAAGTAATTTATTATTATAATAGGCTGTACCGAACCGAATTTGTACCGTGTAAAATGCTGTACCGAACCGATGACGGTAATCAAGCTTGTACCGTACCGTACCGACTTTTTCGGTGCACCGCAGACCCCTAGTTCCTATTCCATTCTTGCTTTTTTAATCACCATAAGCCCATTTGTAATTATTTGTGGGACTCGAGATTGGAAGATTCGAGATTCTAGATTTGATTTTTTTAGGATTCGGATTCGACCATCACTAGTCTGTACAACATACAGCTGTATACTGTACACATCCTATTGAATTACTTTTGTGCTAACGCAATATTAAGTTAATATCAAAAAGATTGTTCAAATAACTTAAGTTATTTATCGTTGGAGTATGTTTGAATATTTACTAGTACTATTAGTCTATGACTGCTCTAATTTTAGAAACATTGTCTTGAAATAAAATAAAAGGCAGTGACATTTATTCTAAACTTGATTCTTTGTTTTGTAATCCTTTTCTGTACTTAAAAAATAGATTTAGCCAACCTCTAAATCATTAAACAAAAATTGCATTTTAAAAAGAAAGTTTGTGACAAATTTATATTTGGCATTACATAAAGATTCTTAGTATAAAAAGTAGAGATGGACGGGATTGAATTTTTAGTTCGGGACGGGACGGGACGGGATTTTTATTTCCTTCCCGATTTTCGGGACGGGACGGGACGGGATTTTTTTCTGTGCAGTTACCAAAAAAGGCATACGACATCAATCTTTACCGTTTGTGGCACTGATCTATAAAAACCAAAAAATGGGTAACAATTTTTCAGGTACCTATAGAAACTTGTGACTCGCGGTCACGGTGCGATCATCAAAATGATAGCGGTAACGGGGTGATCGTCGGTATGACTCGCGGTCACGGCATGATCGTCGGTATGACTTGCGGTCATGGCATGATCGTCGGTATGACTCCGCGGTCACGGGGTGATCGTCGGTATGGCTCCGTGGTCACGGCATGATCGTCGGTATGACTCCGCGGTCACGGCGTGATCGTCGGTATGACTCCGCGGTCACGGGGTGATCGTCGTTATGACTCCGCGGTCACGGGGTGATCGTCGGTATGACTCGCGGTCACGGCGCGATCGTCGGTATGATTCCGCGGTCACGGCGTGATCGTCGGTATGACTCCGCGGTCACGGGGTGATCGTCGGTATGACTCGCGGTCAAGGCGCGATCGTCGGTATGACTCCGCGGTCACGGCGTGATTGTCGGTATGACTCACGGTCACGGCGCGATCGTCGGTATGACCCGCGGTCACGGCGCGATCGTCGGTATGACCCGCGTTCACGGGGTGATCGTCGGTATGACTCGCGGTCACGGCGCGATCGTTGGTATGACTCCGCGGTCACGGCGTGATTGTCGGAATGACTCGCGGTCACGGCATGATCGTCGGAATGACTCGCGGTCACGGCATGATCGTCGGAATGACTCGCGGTCACGGCGCGATCGTCGGAATGACTCGCGGTCACGGCGCGATCGTCGGTATGACTCCGCGGTCACGGCACGATCGTCGTTATGACTCCGCGGTCACGGCACGATCGTCGTTATGACTCCGCGGTCACGGCGCAAGCGTCGAAACGACTTCGTCTCCTGCGTTCGCGGACCTATCGCTCACAATAGCGGCGTCATCGGCACTCGCGAAGCGGCAAAATCACCGGCGATCGGACCAAATCCCGTCCCGAAAAATTCCCGATTCAAATGTAATCCCGTCCCGATAATCGGGAATATTTTTTTCCCGAAAAATTCCCGAAATTTCGGGACCCGTCCATCCCTAATAAAAAGAGCTCCGCTAAAAAAGTTTTTCCCAAAAACTAGGCTTGGGCTCAGCTTCATCGAAAATCTTAGGCTCACACACCTCTATTTCTGAGTGTATACATTTTAAGAACAGCTTGATAACTTTTACTGCAGCTTGAAGATAAAGAGATGATTTTAGCTGCTAGGAAGAAAAGTTTAATGAAAGGTATTTAAAAAGTGTTAAAATAATATAACGATTAATTGATACTAACTCGGATATCCTCAGGCCAGGACAGTGAGCTTCACTAGGCTGGGGGTGGGTGTACCTTGCAGCACTCTCAACGGACAACTTGATCCCCCGCGAATTGCTGCTAGTTGGTGGAATCTCTACAAGCCTTATAGAATGAGGTTTCCTCACAAAAGGTGTTTTTGTTGTCTTCTTTAACGGCTGCATTTGACGCTTGTAACAAGGGCCACTGTAAAATTATTTAAAATCTATTTTAAAATCCAAAAGCTTAGAAAACTAAAATGTTTTAACTTTGAGGATATATATCTCAAATGTTACAATGATGAAACGGGAGCATTTCACAAGATACAAAATCAATAGATCCACAGATTACACTTCAGATCACAAGATCCAAAAACATTAGATCACAAAGATCTAACGATCAGAAGATCCAAAGGTACAGTAATTACTAGAAGAAAAATGTTACATTGTGAAGTAAACTTATGAACAGTTAATATAAAACAAAGTCTCATTGATCTTTTCAACTTACGATAATTTTGAAGTTGTATTTAATTTAAGAGAACACAGTAAGGGTGGAGGTATTTGTGCTTTCATAAAAAAAACACACACAGAGTCAAAATCTGGGGTGTGAATTTTTGTAATTCTTTTTGGTGGGTTATTTTTTTTGTTGGTAAAAGATCAAGTGTATCGCTCGACGATCTCAAACATAGATAAACTAAAAACAAAGATGAAGCAAAGGGAAGCTTTGAAAAAATATTAAATGAAATATTTTATCTTTAATAATAAAGTGTTTATGCCAGTTTACTTTTGGTACATTTTTTTGGGACAACCGGTATATACAACGTTACAATTCAGTAACAACCAAGATAAGATATCACAACCAAATTTGGCATATCATTATTGATAATAGTAAGCTATTTTTTTGTGTTCATGGTGATAGAATGTCACCTATGGGGAAATCTTAAATAGGAGCATAAGTTTAAATATGTACATAGAATTAAAGGTCTTTACTAGCAGAATACAATGCCGCAAATTTGAACTCACCGGCCAACCGAGTAAAAAATGATAGTGGTTAAAAGATTCATTGAATTTGCTGTGCAATCATACGCTACTTCCTCAGGGGCCACTAGGAATGGGAAGAAAATCGTGAACGTAAGCATAGGTTGATATGTAGCCTACATCAAATTAAAGGTCTCGTTGAACTAAAAACAATGCCGCAAATCGCACCTCAAATGGACAACCGAGTCAAAAATTGCAGCCGTTCAAAGATTTCTTGAATTTTTGACCATTTTGAATCATTAATAAGTTGCCATTTTTTACTCAGTTGTTCTTTTGAGCTCAAATTTGCGGCATTGTATTACTAATAAAGACCTTGAATTTGATGTGCATATTGACATATGTATACATTTATGATTTTCTTCCGTCTTCCAGCAGGCGTTCCCCTTAGAAGGTAGCGTATAGGAATAAACATAGCAAATTAAATGAATCTTGAAAAGGTGTCATTTTTGACTTCATTTTCCATTTGAGGTCCGGTTTGCGGCATTGTTTTTAGTTCAACAAGACCTTTAATTTTAAGTACATATCAACCTATGCTCACCGATTTTTTACCTACTCCATATGGCCGTCCCCCATAGGTGACATTCGATCACAAAAAAGTAGCTTACTATTACCAGTAGGCCTAATGATATGCCAAATTTGGTTGTGATATATCTTTTCGTTGTAAAGTTAAGACTTAATAGTCACCCTGTACATATAATGTTTTTGACATTTTTGGATATCAAAATGAAAAACTTGATCGATCTCAAGTCTAGGTTTTACCATGAAGGTAAACGGTTCATGAATAAGACTTGGAATGGTATTTTGGACAGTAGGATATTTGATCGACCAATATGAAAATTCTCTCTACAATTTATTTAGAATAAATAATGTAAAAAATCCACTGCTTTGAATTGCCTGAATTGATGTGTTAATTCTTGCACGTCCCTTAGTTTTGATCTCCAATAGTTAACTTACCAATACAGTTTGGATCTTTCCACGAGAGCGTAAGACTCTCCATCTCCAATAAAACCGCCACAGGATGTGCAGCAGAAACATTCTGGATGGAACTTATGATCACCAGCCACCATCACTGGACCAGTTATGATCTAAAAATTGTACAAAAACTAACATAATTGAAAAACAACATTTACAATTCTTGAATGGGAGTGACCTGTAAAACGAGATTTGTAGAATAGAGATTACATTTTACCATAATTTGTATTGTAGGGGTAAATTATAATCTCAAATGTACTGGATTTTAATTTAAACCCTATATGATGCCAACTTAAACATGCCTCCTAGCAGGTCTAAGTTGGAGCGTAAAACAATTGTTCCTTCAACCGAGATGATCTAACTAGTGCTCGAACTTGTCTTGTGAGCCTACTGAGTTTATCCTCTTAACATGTACATAATTGGCCTTATGAATTAAACTTTTTAAACCAGGGGTTATATAAGCCAGTTATCCCTGCACTAATTGTGTGGCATCTATCAATTTACTCCGCGGCTTCAGTAAACTTGTGAAGTTAATGTTTTATGAATACTGGTAATTTCTGGATTTTAGACTCGAGTTGCGATAAACTCTAGCTTGTGAACCGTCACTTTCAAAATAATGGTATGTATGTATTATGGATATAGTACCACATAGGCTTACCAAAACTAAAACTTCTTTTAAACTAAATTGCATTTACTTTTTCAATAAGCTGCCTGAGAATGCAAGAGCTTAAACAGGATGTTAAACAGGAAGCAGGAGATGTTTAAACAGGTTTAAATCTGTATTGTACACGTGGCTGGTAGAAAATCTCTTTTATAAACTTGAGGAGTTTTTTAATACACAAGTTTGTATTTCTTTTAATACATTAATGTATTGTTTTATTTTTATTTGCTATATGTTACATTTGTATAACATTGTATAACAAATTGACTTGTCCTATTTCTGTACATAAACAGATCAATGGAAATAAAATATTCTTATTCTTATGATATAGGCGGAATGATATAGGTGGAAATTTCTTTTTGTAGATATAAATTTAATTACTATAACAGTCCGTTTTCTTAATCTGGTGCAAGATGTATATGATTTCTAAAGTTTGAGCTTGTTGTCAATAATAACAAACTGTGCTTGGAGCTTATTAGACTGTAGGCCTGATTACCTCCACTACTGGGACCCCTCTTAAAATTAAAGTCGGTAAGATTTTATCTGCAGTAGCAAGAGTTTTGAGAAGTGATTGTATCTCCCTCAGCCAATCGTATGTTTAGTAGTTACGCCAATGCCATCTAAGGATATTTTGTAAGAGATTATCAGATTATAGATTTTATAAGGAGTAGGTATGTATAAAGATTTAATCAAATAAGCCTTTGGCACCTTTTACAGCACCATTGGCAGATATCAGGACTGTTGACCCTCTATTTCAACGGTAGGTCTATTCTCGCCATTCTAGCAATAACGCTTTTAAGATGGTCTACAGTAAAGCAACTTCTTGTAAAAATCAAACTGTGGGAACATTAATTTATAATCTGATACAACCTGACATCCAACAAACATTGTGTACACAAATAAAATAAAAAAAGTTATAATACCTGACTACAATCCTGACATGCCTCTCCGTATCTGGCCCAGTAGTCATCCTTGCAGAATAAGAGCCCGTCTTTCTCAAAGTACCAGGAAGAAAGAGAGGCATCACAAGCAGAACACCTAAATGGAAACAAATGATTGAGTGACCTTTTTCCGTTCTTTTTATTTATTTTTTATTTATTAAACATCATCACGTTACATCAAGTCTCTTGACAGGTGATTTGTCACAAAGTCTAATACTATACTACATTTTAAATAATAAAATAGCTTACAACAGAAATAAAGCAAATAATAAGCTACAAAAATATGGGAGAAGTAATATCTTTCAAATATACTCATCTTCCAGATATTCTTCTAAGTAAAATGCCCTCTCTAAAAGGAAATTAAAAAAAAAAAAATAGTTTTAGTGAATGAGGCAATGTTTTTAATCCCAGCAGGTAATTTATTGTAAATTTTTGGCCCCATGTACTGAGGGGATAAATGAAAGATTTTAAGCCTATGTTGAACTGGTTTTATAATATTTTTGAATATTGTGTTATGTGGATGAGATTGTTGACAGTCCATGATGTGTCGAAATCACTTTTAACCATTAATGCCAATTTGTAAATATAAGAGCTAAAAAAGGTTAAAATTTTAAAATGAATAAATAAATCTTTACAATGTGTTCTACGGGGGACTCTGGCCATTAATCTTACAGCTCTTTTTTGGAGAATAAATATTTTTTTGGCCTGGCTTGATGAGCCCCATACAGTAATTCCATAATTCATAATCGATGAAAAATATGCGTGATATACTACTATTTGTGTTTCTAGATTAGTAGTATCCCGAATTATTGTGAGAACAAATGTTGCTGAGCGTAGTCTTTTTGATAGGTTTTTAAAGTGTTTTTGCCAATTTAGTTGTGAATCGATTTCTATTCCCAAATAATTTATTGACTGTTGTGAATGAATTGTAGTTCGAAGTTTGTATTTACAATTATTTTTTGGTTAATATTGGATGCAAAAAACTGAATTAGTTGAGTTTTTGCCACATTCATGGACCATTTACTGCAAACCAGTCCCCGAGGAGTTGAAATTCCTGAGTTATTGAGGCTTGTATGAACTGTTTGTTTTGTCCTGTGCAAATTAAAGGGGTATCATCTGCGTATTGAAAGGTGGACATCTTAGTAGCATTGCATAGATCATTAACATATATAATAAATAAACAAGGGCCAAGAATGGAGCCCTGAGGAACTCCATTGGGGTTAATGTTCCACTCTGATTTATAATTTCTCTGCATTTTTTGTACAATAAGTCTTTGATTTTGGTTTTTTAAATATGATGTGAACCATTTTAATTCAGTATTTTTTATTCCATGCATACTTAATTTTGCTATGAGTATCTCATGATTCACACAGTCAAAAGCCAGAACACACACAAATCAACACAACACAGTCAAAAGTGTGTGTGATAGGTCACATAGCACACCCACAGTTTTCTGCGATCCATCCAAGGCTTCTGCAATGCAGTTAATCATTTTTGTTATGGATTTTTCAGTACCGAGTTCTGGGCGGAAACCAAACTGTGAAGGATTTATTAAATTATTCCCACCGACTAATGGACTCAAAAGTTAAAACTAACTTACTCAAAGAGAGGTTATGTTTTCGTTTATTGATTCGTTGACTTATTGCAAATAATAATAAGCTAGTGACAGGTAAAAACTCATTGCAGTACAGTAGTACGTAATAAAACCCCATTTGAACAAGCAGGCGGCAAACAGCTGTTTTCCGGACTAATTTTATGTGTCGAAAGTAAAGGGTGTCTAGTGTCTACTAAATTCTGGATAAAAGATTCATGGACAATTCCCATACATTTAAGGACACTTTGTCGCAACCTTTGTCGGTGCGATTACCAAATATATTTTCCTGATTTTTCAAACTGTTTTAATCTTGTTCTTCACTGTAGTTGTACCAAAGAGAAAAGTAAATAATAATAGACAAGAGTTAAATTTCAAAATATAAATTGATTGAAAGTAAACAAACATATACTTTAGGTAAAGCTTTATAGTGTAACAGACAAACGCAAGCATTGTCTCCCGCGATAGTGACAAAATCCTAAACATCTCCATTGGTCACGGAAACATTATCATATCATATCCGATCCAGGCGGATTAATTTGGCATGATTTAATCCCTATCACAACATTAAGTTCTCAACTACTTTTGAAAAAAAAAAATCATTAATGCAGAATATTGTAACTTGGTTCTTGGTACAAAATCGGTATGGTAAGCGGCTACCAGTAAGCATAGAGTAAGATTATTGTCTTTTCATTTGCAAAGTTAACTTCGACACATAGCAATCGAGAATTAATTTATCTTAGCATGGGGCAGGCCACACTTTTCCGGTTCGGCGAAACTGCCGATCCGGCGGGAAAATGCTCCGGCGAAACCGCCGGATATTCTCTACCTCGCCGGACCGCCGGATCGGCGGTTTCGCCGGCCCAGTGGGTAGCGGGGCATTGTGCCTTATGGAGATGAACACACATACCGGCGAAACAGCCGGAACTGCCACTGCCCCCACTCCTCAGTCCTGGTTTAACCCCCAAGGGTGGTGGTTGATTTTTATTATAGCACAGTGTCCAAGTGGTGTATTTTGTTTTGTTTTGCTATTTAGTTAATTTATTTTTTATTTTTTAGTCTACTTATTTTTCTACATCATCATGGCTAGATGTTGATGTGGATTTACTTATTAGTTTGGTTCATGAGAAACAAGAACTTTGGGATAGGTCTTTGGAAATTTACAAAGACAAAAACAAAACGAGGGACAGCTGGCGTCAAATTTGTTCCGCACTGAATCCAGCCTTTCCAGCGTCTCATATATGTGTCTTGTCCTTGTATTTGCACTATAATCTTCGATAGTAGCTCGTCGAAGTGTAGATATCATCGTCGTCTCCCGAGGTCACGGAAACGTAATCGTCATCTCCCGCGGTAACGGAAACGTCATCGTCGTCGTCCGCGATCGCGGCAAAATCATGAACATTTCCCGCGGCTGTTTAGACATCACCATCATCTCCCGCGGTCCCGGAAACGTTATCGTCGTCGTCCCATCGGGAGTTATTATACATCGATGCGTCGTCCGCGATCACGGCAAAATCATGAACATTACCCGCGGCCGTGTAGACATCATAGTCGTCTCTCGCGGTCACAGAAACATCATCGTCATCTCCCGCGGTCACGGAAACGTCATCGTCGTCTCCCGCGGTCACGGAAACGTCATCACCGCCGTCCGCGATAACGACAAAATAATGAAAATTTCTTGCGGCCGTGTAAACATCGTCATTGACTCCCACGGTCACGGAAACGTCATCGTCTTCTCCTGCGGTCACGGAAACGTCATCGTCGTCTCCCGCGGCCACGGAAACGTCATCGTCGTCTCTTGTGGTCACGGAAACGTTATCGTCGTCTCCCGCAGTCACGGTAACGTCATCGTCATCTCCCGCTGTCATAGAAACGTCATCGTCGTCTCTCGTGGTTTCGGAAACGTCATCGTCGTCGTCCACTATCGCGGCAAAATCGTGAACATTTCCCGAGGCCGTGTAAACATTGTCATCATTGGCTTTCGCGGTTACGTAAACGCAAGACAACGATCGTGGCAAAATCATGAAAATTCCCGACTTTGAAATCAAATTTAAGACTAAATCCCGACTTTTCAAGACCGTTTTGAAATTCAATACTAATTCCCGACTTTCCCGATTTTCCCGACTACTAGACACCCTGGGGGACAGACATTCGAAAATAATTAAAAACTTATTTTCTTCATTTCTCAACTGTAAAAATAGAGTGTAAAATGCTCCATGTAGCTGTCTGTTCTCCAGAATAGGATGCACCCGAACATTTCGGTGGTGTTTTCTCTTCCTTCTGTGGCGGATCAAACACAGCAAGGCCAACTTTTGAGGTCTTGACAGCACAATTTCTAAGACTAAACTGTACTAGTCTAAGACAAAACTGATCCAGAGTTCATTGCACTCTATTTATTGTCGCCGGCTCCGGCAAAATAGTTTTCACCAGAACAAGTGTGTTCTGACCCTCAACAGCGAATCCGCCGCATCCGGCGTCCGGCGTCTGGCGGTTTCGCCGGTAAGTGTGTCCCTGGCCTTAGAAAATGCAATGACATGTTTAAGACCAAGTAGGCTTGCGTAATGATGAAAAATTAATGTAAACAACAATGCTTGTGGTTTTGTCAATTGAAAGTAATATCCATAAAAATGTTTTATCTTACAGAATAAGACTGAAGATTAGTTTAATATGAAACCATAAACAGTTTTATGGCAGTAGGCAATTGCCAGGGGCAAATTGATTCAAGATGAAAGTACACTTTAGAAGTGAAATTTAACAGCCATTATAAAACTATTATTTCCATGATAAAATAGGTAGGATCTAATAATAATTCCTCTAGTAATAAATAAAGAAGTTGTAAAGGAATAAAAGTGATACAACTTTTATGAGCTAAGCTATTGACTCACCAGTTCTTGGAAGTACTAGACTTAACATTTGATTGCCGTGATAAAATATTAATGGGTTTGAGATTGCTAATGGTTTTTTATTGCATAATTACTCTAGTAATAAATCATGAAAATGTAAGCAAACATCTGATAAACCTTTTATCTGTTCCTAACCAACTAGCGATCAATAAAATTATTGCCCAATACAGTAGACTCCCTCTAGTTCGGCCACCTCTGGACCAGACCACTGGCCGGACTACATAACGGCTGGACTAACCAGATGTAGTAGAACCTCAAATATTCGGGGTAATGGGGGGGGGGGGCCAGGAAAACTGAAAACCTGGGTTAATCCAACATGGCATAAACACCCATAAAACACCTAATACTGTATAAAATGGATGTTAATGTGATAATTAACTTGCATTTTACATAATAAAAATACGAATAATAGTATTGCGCAATTGTGATATGTTAAGTCATTAACCTTGGTTCAGTAACGTTTAAAATCGCGCTTACTTAAGCAAAACAAAAATTACACAACACTGTACACGTACAGCAATAAATCACATAAAGAACAGAACAATAGAAAGTCTATTACTGCAAGCTACTGCTACCGTAGTATCTGCATAGGCTAGGCTACTACTACATGTTGTTTCAGAACATAAGAATGTCGATATAAAATATTAGATAGCTCATAAAACCACTGAAAGCACCAATGAAAGGTGTATGCTCAGAATCTTTTGAAAAACTGTAAAACCAATAATTAATCTTATTTCAACAGAGCTACTACGGTACTGATTGCATAAAAAAATAAAAACTTTCAAAGAAATAAGTCCTATTTGAAAAAATTGCATTTATTTCAGAAAGATTACCTAAAGCACTCTGTGTGCCACTCTTGATTGAGTGCTTGAACAAACTCATCATCATCAAGGTGATTAAGACAGCCAGCACAAACCAACAACTCCCTGCATCCATCCACATTTTCTTTGCCTGAAAATCACAACAAATATAGGGACCTATAAGTTTGTAACAAACATTAAAATAAAAAAAAAAAATACTTATTGAACATTTAAAAACTCTACTTCAACTCCAGAGAACCCTGGAACTGCCATATTAGGGAACCGGTAGTTAGGTCTCGACTCATATCTGTATTGTACCATAGGGATCGGAATGTTCCTATCTCTTGTAAGGAATCGGCAATACATGGCAGAAGTGTGACAAAGCAAATATGAATTATTTATTTATTTCACACGGTTAAGTACACCATTTTTACAATAATCATCAGCAAATACAAGATGGCCTAATTTAAAATAACACTACATTACTTAATGCAATTAGATCATTGAGATTGAAGATTTCTAGATTAATTTTTAGAATTGTAAATTGTAGAGTATAAAATCTCTAGTAATGTAAGTTATAGCTACCTATATTATAGAAAATTAACTTATTACCGGTATGTTATTTTTGATTTGTTAGTGTTGTTATTATTTTGTTATCTATTGTTATGGTATTTAACTATGGTCTTGTTGTTGGATTGTAGAATTTAGCCTATCTTGTTTTCTTCTTTTAAATTTTATATTTTGTTGGTTAATCTAAAACTTGTTTAGAAGTTCCTAGTGTAGTCCTAGAACACAAAATATTGTAGGCCTAAACTTATTTGTTAAAGTAAATTGTGAAATGAAATGGCCTGTGTCCGTCAATAAAGAATGAAGTAAGTTATAAATTAAGGAACAAAAGAAATGGAAGATTAGATTTAGGAAACGTTAAGAAATCAATAATTTATAGATGAGTGTGTTACCTGGGCATAACATATCACAGTTTCTTACCTGGGCTCACCCTAATATCAATTTAAATGTAAATTAAAATATCAATTAAAAATCGATATACTAAACTAAAACAGAGTTTATAGTCAGCTTAGATTAAGGTTACTGGATTTATGTTTCAAGGATCAATGCAGATAACTTATTGGTCCTTGAAACTTACCTATCTAGGTAGACTCACCTATCTGTTGGCACAAACAACCGAATGAAAATATTGATTATTCGATTGTTTCATTCTATATATCGTTTGGTTAGTTAGGTAAGGTAGGTACTAACCAAAGGATATATCGAATAATCGATATATCGATCAATATTTTCATTCGGTTGTTTGTGCCAACAGATACGGAAGTCTACCCTCCAGAAACCTTAATCTAAGCTGACTATTAGATTAAGACTAGATTGGTCTGGATTTCTTCTTGGCAAATGTAAGTAGGCTACTTAAATAAAATAAGAGACCAAGAGATGGTAATAATAAGGAAACGATAAAATTTGGGCTTAACTTTGATTCTGGAAACAATAAAGATAATTGAATGTAAATTGGATTGAAACCCTTTCAATACAAACCCCAAATAAGTTTAAGTTAACCTAGCCTAAGTTTACCTACTTTATAAGAAAATTATGGTACCTAATTTTGTATCCCTCCACAACACACGGTACATCATTATTCACCAACTTAGCTCAAATGATTACTGAAATGGGTGAACAAATTTAGGCTAACTACCACCAGCGATAAATTAAAAAGGTCTAAGTTAGGGTAGAGTAGTTAGGTTTGGTTGGATTGAGAACCAACTTAAATGACAAGCATTGAAATTAAGCACGAATTACACTTGGTAGTAAATGTGACCTATAAATTAAACTATAATGCTAATTTCTGAAATACTACAGGCTTAATGGTTAGGAGTAAACTAAAAGTTCATTTTAGAATAGCCTAGGGTATTTGACAGCTTCTGGGCTGTGACTTAACTATGGATAACTATATAAGAATATTTACCAACTGAACTATCCATTATGCTGGGAAATATTATTTTACATTTTTATTTCCAAACCCAACAAACTGTAACAATATTTCTCCATTTTCATCCAATCTCCATCAGAAATATAAAACTAATCTATATTACTACAGAAGCTAACAGACAGAACCCAGAACAGAACTTCTAAACCTAAACTACTCCAATCCAACCAACCAAACACACAACCACAACCACTCCAAACCATAACCCAAGCTGACATTATTTTGGTCTATAGAGGGTGTACAAATTCGTAATCATGTAGCTTAGCAGGTAATGTTGATTTTGCATTAGAAAATTATGTTTAGGAGAACTTGAAGAATGTTTGATTCATGATTTTGACGTTTATTGATTTTATTTATTTATTATTTCAACAGCAAAAGTCCGTAAACACAAAAATGCAGATTAAGAGTAAACAATACTTCTACCAATTAACAGAAGTAAAAACAAACTAAGCTAATAAATAAGCATATAAAAATATATGAAGTGGATTTGTCGTTTACATAAAAATAATGACCATTCCTTTTATTGCATGTAACTAAATTAAAATGATTAGTAAAATTGTTCCATTGTTGAGAGGAAATTGTGCATTTATTTTTGTTGGACAAGTTAGTTAACTTTTCGTCGTTGGATTATATAATGCAAATTTGAAAAAATATATCACACTGTTAAAATTGATTATTTATTTGATTTTGTTTTCTTCTGCCATCAAATTGTCTATGTTTTAAAAGTTGAATTCTCCTAGACTTGGCGTCCCATTCGCACCGGCAGCTGTCAAAACTGCATTTCCATCGTAATAGAGTACCATAGATAAAACATACTCCTCAAGGAAATATCATCGATTGAACATAAACCTTGAGGAGTATGTTTTATCTATGACAGTACAGAACTTAATGCTGATTCAAGTATATAAGCAACAATTTCGTTACGAGACAGGACATCTTTTTAATGTAACGTTCTGAAGAGTTTAGCATTGTTCTCGTCCTAGGAGGATTAAACATTAATTAATGTTTAATCTCCCCATTAATGTTTAATCCTCCCATTAATGTTTAATCCTGCAATTAATGTTTAATCCTCCCATTAATGTTTATTCCTCCCATTAATGTTTAATCCCCCTAGTTCTCGTCGTCGAGCGCGAGAGCGGAAATACCAGGATTCCTTTAGAAAGCAACGGCAATTCGGTCAAACCCATCTGATCTCAAAACAGGGGCGGTTAAAACAGCTGTAATATACAGAGTGTCCCATAGCTCTCTGGACACATCTATATAGCGTTATTGCTTAGGTCAAGACAAACACATTTCACCATAGGAACATGGGTCTGTGGTGCCTAGTTTTCCGACTGATGTCTGTATTTATGTGTTTTTTACAAAAACATTAATAACTCCTAAACGGGTTGGGATACAGCGTTGAGATTTTGCAAAACTGTTTATATTGTTAAGACTTATTTTTGTTTGAAATTGTACAAAAAATTATTAACCGTTTCAAAATTAATCAGCGCTTTAAAATATTTGATGCCAAATTTCACGAAAACCGTTAACTTAACGACAAAATTGCAAGTGACAAAAAAGTTTGTAAATTTTATGTAATTTTCAATTATGCCTTATTTGTTAAGAATGGATAAATAACAACAGTGAAATGCCTTCTTTTCCAAATGTATGACCACTTTTCTCCATTTTAATAATGCTAATACTCCTATTACGTGTTGTTCAGTAATTGTCCCCTGTATATATTTTACGAGCAAGGGTGGATAATCCGTCCATCGATCACTGCAAGTTCAGTTAATCTATGATACTAGTAACTTATCACAGATGTTTTGACGTTCCTTTTAGCAAATTTCCCATAGGGAATAAGCTATTACCGTAGGTCTCATGGTCAGACCTGGGCTCGGGACCAATTTACATTTTATTTTTGAGGTCCCCAGAGAACAAAACACAATTCGGTCAAATTCATACACACACACACACACACACACACACACACACACACACACACACACACACACACACACACACACACACATACACACACACATAAGAACAGGGTCAATAACAAGTCTGGAGACCCCATATTAACTTTTTAATGGGTTGCACTGGGAAAACAAACTTTGGAAACCTCTAAATTGCATAAAATGCACTTTTTTTTTGTATAACAATTTCTTTCAAAGCCCTATAATGACTCATTTGGGGGGGGGGCTCAAAAGTTTTAAATGTAAAGCCCCAAGTCGTTCCCTCTAATTTTTAAGACGATTAATTTAAATTAATATCGGTGAAGACGAGAGGTCTCTATCTAAACCCATTACAGAATGGCAGCCATTTTTATTGTTCATGACCCTCAGAGATCCTATGTAAAAATATACATCAATCCCCTATTAACGTTTTTATGTGTTGTCCCATGAAAACTTAACTCAGTGTTATTGTAAAAAGAACTATTTTTTGGTCGTTATGGCAATTGTTCCCAGGACCCGCTGCCCCACATATGCTCCATTTTGGGTTTCCAGGTGGAGTTGTGATACCAACTTAAAAGTACACTGTTTTTCTTATGAAGTGATACGCTTTCCTGGTACAATTCGATAAAAATTAATAGGGGATATTAATGTATATTTTGAGGTGAGATCTCTGTGGTTTATGAAAATTAAAAACTGCCTTTATTTATTTGTATTGGGTTGAGAATTGAGATAGGGACCTCTGTTTTTCACTTATTCTTTTCATCTAATGGACTTTAAAATGAGACTTTACATTAAAAATTTTTGAACTGGCCCAAAAAAAAAAACCAATTTAGGCTCCCGGGCAAAATTATCATACTGACCAATAAGGAAATTTTAGTTTCTTGTTACAGTAATACTGTGTTTAGTTTTCCTGGTACAACACATCAAAACATTAAGGGATGTTGATGTATATTTTTACATGGGATCTCTCGGGGTGATAGAACAAAAAATGGCTGCCATTCTGTAATGGGTTGAGATAGAGACCTCTAATTTTCATCGATACTTTTTTAAACTAATGACCTTTAAAATTAGGGATAACTTGATGGGGCTTTACTTTTAAAATTTTTGAGCTGCCCCAAAATAACACATTTTTGGTTTTCTAACAAAATTGGGTTACCAGCAAAAAACACACTTTTATGCTGTAGGCTATAAAGATATACAGAGTTTGGTTTTCCTGGTTTAACCCATTAAAAAGTTAATAGGGGGTCTGCAGACTTTTTATTAACGCTGTACATGTTCGTTAGCACGACAGCTTGAGCAAAAATTATGCAATTTTGATGAAACAGATAGACCCCTCTTAAGAATATTGAAGTTCTTCAATGAAGAAATAGTAGTACTATTTTTAACAAATATCTAAGAGTTTTATTATTTGCAGTAACAATTTTATGATAAAAATAACAACACTAAAAAGATTTGAATAACCAGTCCAAGCTTTTTGTGCTAGACACATATACATAATATGTTATACATACGATAAAAACAGTTTGACCTCTTTGTTTTATGAGAACTTCATTTCATTTCGTTCATTCGTTCTATTTCCATTACATATCGCCTGCTTGCTTTGCTTTATATGGCGTCCGCTGCAAGTGGGTACTTAGTGTGAAAATGTCACTTAGACCTCGTAACGGGATGTGTATTACGAACAGACTCAATTTCGCCAGCAAAAATCTTTTTCAGAGTATTTTTATATAATACAAATAAGGATGTTATCGATCCGCACAAATTTGTGATGTATTATATTCATTCTTTCGTTCGTTCATTCATGTAAGTACCACTGGGTGTCACCGAGTAGGCCTAATGCAAATTTGTCATAATATAATTTACTCTCACAATTAAATTATTCGCAATAAGCCAGTAAAAAAATATCATGATTATTTATTTTCATTTTGCCACATTTACTACTTTATAACTCTTCTCTCGTAATGCCTCTCTCAAAATACAACAAGTATGTTTAGGTTATAGTCATCGTCAAATAATCAATATTTTGTGTAGCCTTTAGTTCATGTAAGATTTATTGTATTTCACGTGTTTAAAATTGTGTTTTCACTCATTAGGGATTGTTTCTAACACTTAAGAGACTTTACCGTCAGTAAGTTGTTAGTGTTTTCTGTAATTTTACCTAAAATATGTCAAATCTGAGTTAGTGGAAACTGATGGCAGGAATACAATTTGTGTGCTGGGCCTTGTGTTTTTGCTATCAATATTCAATATTTTCTCTTATATTACGTCAACTGATGGCGTTTAACTACTGAAACCTGAATCTATTATTTTGAAATCTTAAAACCAATAATGCATATGATATTGATTTTTTAGTAGTTAGGCTAACTAGTCAAAATTGTCTAAGTTAACCCAAGTTATGAGTAAGTTAGTTATGGTGGTAGTTGTGAGTGGTTTTATCAGTAACAGGTAGCTTAAATATAATTAAACTTTACCTTGCGGTTCATGAAATTGGGGAAATGGGTAAAACGTGATTTCAACTACCGGTATGTGTAAAATTTAATTTGTCTCAATGAACTTTGAACAACCTACTGAATAACATTCTTGGCGATCGTTATTTATTTTGTCACTTAACACTAACTTAGCCTAGGATAGTTTAGGAGAAACATAACCAGACAGGATTATACCGTATGCCTAGAGGTGTGTATCATTTTTTAATACCTTGCCGGATAAGGTGCGGGATATGGGAATCACCTCCTTCAAAGCTGCCATCAGAAATAGCTTGGTAGATAGGCCACTGTACTCACTGGAGGAGCTGAGTAAAGAACCCCTAAAAGTTATATAAAAGCCTTCATTAAAAATGGGGAACACGTTTATGTACCGCCACAGCCTGTTTAAGTTGTATTGTTTATATGTATGTAAATAGTAGTGTTTATTTTTAAATGTATATAATAACGCAATCTATCCGACATTGTCGGTCAACGACGCAGCACACAAGTATCAAGTATCAAGTAAGTAAGTGCCTATGTATGTTTTCTTACAAATATTCTATGTTACGGTAATGCTATTCATAAGTTTGACAAAAAATCAAGTAAGCTTAAGTTACTTAAGTCTTAGAGAAACAAGTAACTTAAGTTAGGCTACATAAGGCAAGTGGTTGTCAAAAGTTACCATAAAAACATAGCTACTTACAAAGTTTTCTACTATAAGTTATAGGACTACTGTAAAGAAGAATGTGTTTGATTAGGCTAACTGAAAGTATTATTTGGATCTTAAAACAAATTTTTTTGGTTAGACGAAGTGATGATTGTTTTAAAATAAGTTACAGTATTTAGTACAGCCCTTTTGGAGTGTTATAATGGTATAGGCCTACAGCTGGGCTGGGCACTATTCAATGTGGGGTATGAAGCTAAATCCAACATCAAATTTTGAATAAGCTATTTACCTAGGTTTTCTAATATTGAAGAGCCCCTCCCTTTCAAATTAGGCTACTCGTTGGCCTATACTCTGTTACCGTACAGATTCCTTCTTCAACTATTTCGTTTTGTTTTTGTTAGTTGTAAAGGTTGTAAGTATAGTGTAGTTTAGGCCTAGGTACTATCCAATTTTCTTTTCTGCATTTGTATATTTTTCCATTTAGTTTTAACTTTGTGTTTCATTATGTACCTACAGTAAACCTTCGATAGTTTGACACTCAATAGTTCGCCACTCCTTGTAGTTCGACACGGGCTGAGCTATTTTGTCAAGTGATATTTAATGGTTACTATTGTGATGTAAGCTGACTTGAATATTAATTTGTCATTTATTATTGACTTGAGACTAATGAACAGCGAAATTGTTAAGTTTAAGCTTTTAAGTATTTAATAAATTTGGGCGATTTCCATATAGGCCTAAAACTTCGACACCCCTTAAGTCCACAAAGTGTCGAACTATCGAGGTTCTACTGTATTTGATTTTTTTAGTTGTATTTAGGCTAATGTATCAGATGCTGTAAATACAGTAGTTGGTTTAAAAATTTTAAGCAGTTTTTTGACTGGCTACCTTTTGAGGGCTATTTTACCTGTAGGCCTACATCGATTTAATGTAGAAGTAGTTTCACTTGAAAACAGAAAGAATTGATCCACCTACAGAATCATTGTGCAGTTTTAAACACAAGAAACGTTGGAAAAAATCCAAAAATAACAATAACTTAGTAACATTTCAGAACCATTATTTTGTCATAACTTAATTAATTTTAAAAACTATAGATCCCTTTCCCTGCGAAATGCCAACACTTTTTCTATATCTGGCCATCTCTATAAAGCTGTTTGATACTTTGTATCGATTCACCCTATTGTCAACATACTGTTTAACATCTCAGCCAGTAATTTAAGATCTTATTAATATGAAATTCCATCTTCTTTGGCTTAGCCTACTCATTTCCTGTTTGGTATTCATACAGATTAGGTATCATATGTTGAATACTACTGACTGTAGACAGAACTTATTAATTCCATTTCCATATTAAATCTTTAGCCTGTTATATAGGCCAGTAAAATTAGACAAAAATATTACATTTTGAGGAATTAATTCCCAGCAAGCTGGAAATCGTTTTAATACCTTCATTTGGCCCCAAATAAGTGTAATCTGAGTTTGCACCGTCCTATGAGGTGAGCTTACATTATGGCAGCCTAAAATAAATTAAATTTTAGCACTTTTTTCAGTTTTTTCCGAGTAGCTCAAAAACAGTGTATCGGACGCAAACAACGTCCTTTTAATATCAAAGAGGATTAAATTCTGCGTAAAATGAGTATATAAATATCCAAATTCGGTTAAGTAGTATAGCCAAAATCTTAAGTTTTAAATTATATTTTTTTTTTGTTTCATTGCATTTTACATTTTGCGACTTTCCAGAACCCCATTACTATCTTTGAAAGAAACACACCCATGACCATTTCCTTCTTCATACGAAGTAAGAGTGGGGAAAACAGCTGATCAAGTATTCCCAGCTGTTTGTAGTTGTATAGTACAACAATATCATTGCTAAGTGGTTGTCATCAATTACTTTGGAAGTGATGTTGTGTATACGACGTTGTTTAAAAATAATTGAGGGCGTTTACCAATATTTGTATTCCTTCAAGCAAGTGTTATGACGTATAGATACCTCTGTATTTGGTGGTAGACTCGTAGAATATGTTGGGCGGCGGCTGCATTTGTTAGTGGTAGAGAATCTATATATTGAAAGTTAACTTTGAAATGGATTTTGAGAACATCTCATAATGGATTTGGTCTAGTGATGTATTATTGGCTTTAGATGAACAAACAGTTGACCTGATAAAATTAGGCCCTCAGTATGAGCATCTGTATGGTGGAAAACCTTTACAGCCCCCTGCAACGTGTTCTTCTCAAAGACTTAAATAATCTTCAACTTCCCTTGGCGATAGTATGCAGATGGCATTTCACCCACTGATTGCATGTAGGAACAGAAGGTTCTCTTTGACAGGAGAAGAGAAGTTGAAATGCCTGGAAGAGTAGAACATGTTCTAAGAGGTCCTCTTTTCAGATTTCCTGAGGTAAAGGTTTGAGGAATTTGGTGCTTTGGTGGTTAATAGGACCAATAGATCAGCGTCCTATCCAATTATTATAGCTTTCGCAAAGTTCCAAGCCATTTAAATGGCAGTGTTGACTATGAGAATATCCTCAAGAGCTTGTCTGACTTCAAACCCCTGTTACACTAATTTCTCACTCAGCATGGAGATAAGCCGTCTTTTGTTGTTGTAGTTAGAGAGAAATTGTTCTTTCAGCATGGTTGCAGTCAACGTTTTAGTGAAAATTACGTTTGCCAAGGATTGCTTGATTATTATTATTATTATTATTATTATTATTATTATTATTATTATTATTCCTTGTTGTTTCACAGAAGTTGAGGCGTCAACATGTATCGGTCTATCACAGATAAAATACTCAGTATAGTTCATGTCTGAACATGTTAAACACACTTAATATCATAAAGATAACAGATCACTACGTCATAACACTTGTTTGAACGAATACAAATATTGGTAAATGCCCTCAATTATTTTTAAACAACGTCGTACACACAACATCACTTCAAAGTAACTGACAACTACATAGCAATGATATTGTTGTACTATACAACTGCAAACAGCTGGGAATACTTGATCAGCTGTTTTCCCCACTCTTACTTCGTATGAAGAAGGAAATGGTCACGGGTGTGTTTCATTCAAAGATAGTAATGGGGTTCTGGAAAGTCGCAATATGTAAAATGCAATGAAACAAAAAAAAATTATAATTTAAAACTTAAGATTTTGGCTATACTACTTAACCGAATTTGGATATTTATATACTAATTTTACGCAGAATTTAATCCTCTTTGATATTAAAAGGACGTTGTTTGCGTCCGATACACTGTTTTTGAGCTACTCGGAAAAAACTAAAAAAAGTGCTAAAATTTAATTTATATTAGGCTGCCATAATGTAAGCTCACCTCATAGGACGGTGCAAACTCAGATTACACTTATTTGGGACCAAATGAAGGTATTAAAACGATTTCCAGCTTGCTGGGAATTAATTCTTCGAAAAATCCTTATTTGACTGGCCTATAAACAATAGGTTGGATTAAGCTACATATCCAGAACATGATGATTTTAATTGAATATGCCAACTTTTAAACCAAGACAAAACGTGTGCTCTGATGTACATTGCTGATTTCTGTGGGATAGGCCTACTAACCAAAACAGAAGGGATAACTTAGCCTATATAGCACATTTTATATCATAAACTAGTATACAATACACAATCATGTATTGTTAATATTATTTGGGAAT